TATGGCACACAACAAGAGTGTCTCTGCTATGGTACACAACACAGAGTAAGGTTCCCTGTTATGGCACACAACAAGAGGATTCTGTTATGGTACACAACAAGAGGCCCCTGAAAGAGGGAAGACGACAAGAGGCCCCTGTGTGCGGCACAACAAAGAAAAAGGCCCCCAGCATGGCACACAACAAGAGTGTCTCTGTTATGCAGTACACACAACAAGAGTGTTCTGTTATGGTACACAACAAGAGGTCTCTGCTATGGTACACAACAACAATAGTATTCCCTATAGGTACACAACAAGAGCGTTCCCAGCCATGGTACACAACAAGAGTAACTTCTTGCTATGGTACACAACAACAAGAGTGTCTCTGTTATGGCACACAACAAGAGTGTCTCTGTTATACATGTACAACAAGAGTGTTTCTGTTATATAGACACAACAAGAGTGTCTCTGTTATGGCACACAACAACAAGAGTGTCTCTCTGTTATGGTACACAACAACAAGAGTGTCTTGCTATGGTACACAACAAAGAGTGTCTCTATGGCACACAACAACAAGAGTGTCTCTGTTATGGCACACAACAACAAGAGTGTTCCTGTTATGGCACACAACAAGAGTGTTCTGTTATGGCACACAACAAGAGCAAGTCTCTGTTATGGCACACAACAAACAGATGTTCTGCTATGGCACACAACAAGAGGTTCTGTTATGGTACACAACAACAAGAGTGTCTCTGTTATGCACACAACAAGAGCAGCCCTCGTTATGGCAATAATAACAAGAGTGTCTCACAGGTACACAACAACAAAAGAGTAACTCTTGCGGGTACACAACAAGAGTGTCTTCACAGTGGCACACAACAACAAGGAGTGTCTCTTGCTATGGCACACACAGAGTTCTGCTTATGGCACACAACAGTGTCCTAAGGCACACAACAAGAGCAATTCTGTTATGGTACACAACAACAAGAGTGTCTCTGTTATGGCACAACAAGAGGCCCCTGTTATGCACACAACAAGAGTGTCTCATGCAAGGCACACAACAAAAGAGCAGCCCCTGGTTATGGCACAACAAGAGCAGTCTCTGTTATGGCACACAAACAAGAGCATCTCTGTTATGGCACACAACAAGAGTGTCTCTACATGGCATTAAACAACAAGGAGTGTCCTGTTATAGTAACACAACAACAAAGAGCGCCCCCTGTTTATGGCACACAACAACAAGATGTCCTGTTATGGCACACAAACAAGAGTGCCCCCTGCTATGGCACACAACAAGAGTGTCTCTGTTATGGCACACAACAACAAGAGTGTCCTGTTATGGCACACAACAACAAGAGTTCTGTTATGGTACAACAAGAGTGTCTCTGTTATATATTGGACAACAACAAGATGTCTGTTGCAATAAACAACAAGAGTGTCTCCCTGGCAGTGGTACACAACAATGGGGAGGGGTTCTGTTATGGCACACAACAACAAGAGTGTCTCTGTTATGGTACACAACAACAAGAGGTCTCTGTTATGGTACACAACAAGAGTGTCTCTGTTATGGTACACAACAAGAGTGTCTCTGGCTATGGTACACAACAACAAGAGTGTTCCCCTGTTATGGTACACAACAAGAGTGCCCTGTTATGCACATTAAATAAGTGTCTCTCTGTTATGGCAGCACACACAGTCTCTTGTTATGGTACACAACAGAGGCCCCTGGCAGGGCACAACAACAAGAGCAGCCCCCTGTTATGGCACACAACAAGAGTGTCTCTGTTATGGCACACAACAACAAGAGTGTCTCTGTTATATATTACTGTGAGTGTCTTCTGTTATGGTACACACCAAGAGTGTCTCTGTTATGGCACACAACAACAAGAGTGTCTCTGTTATGGCACACAACAAGAGTGTCTCTGTTATGGCACACAACAACAAGAGTGTCTCTGTTATGGTACACACAACAAGAGGGTGTCTCTGTTATGGCACACACAAGAGGCCCTGTTATGGTACACACACAACAACAATAGTGTCTCTGTTATGGCACAACAAGAGTAAGTTCCTGTTATATACAACAAGAAAGGCCCTGTTATGGTACACAACAAATAAGAGTGTCTCAGCAGGTACACAACAACAAGAGTGTCTCTGCTGCACACAACAATGCAAGAGGCTCCCCAGTTATGGCACACAACAAGAGTGTCTTGCGGTACACAACAAGAGTCTCTGTTATGCACACAACAAGAGTGTCTCTGTTATGGCACACAACAAGAAAAGCCTGCCAGTGGTACACAACAAGAGTGTCTCTGTTATGGCACACAACAAGAGCAGTCATATGGTACACAAATAAGAAAATCTCTATGCACACAACAACAATAGTGTCTCTGTTATGGTACACAACAAGAGTGACTTCGTTATGGCACAATAAACAAGAGTGTGCACACAACAAATGGTTAGTGTTCTGTTTGGTGTACAACAAGAGTAGCCCCCTGTTATGGCACAACAAGAGTGTTCTGTTATATGACAAATAAGAGGTCTCTGTTGCGTACACGACAAGAGTGTTCTGTTATGGTAATAATAACAAGAGTGTCTTCGCGGCGGCACACAAATAAATAAGATAATTGTTATGGTACAACAAGAGCAGTTCTGTTATGGTACACAATAAGAGTGTCTCTGTTATATGAACAACAAGATGGACTCTGTTATGGTACATAACAAGAGTGTCTCTGTTATGGTACACAAATAAGAGTGTCTCTGTTATGGCACACCACAAGAGGACTGCGGTACACAACAAGAGTGTTCTGTTATGGCATACAACAACAAGAGTGACTCTATGGTACACAACAAGAGCAGGCCACAAATAAAGAAAGTGTTCTCGTGCCATGGTACACAACAAGAAAGTGTCTCTCAGCAGGCACACTGACAGAAAGTGTTCTGTTATGGCACACAACAACAAGAGGGTCTTGTTATGGCACACAACAACAAGAGTGGCCCTGTTATGGCACACAACAACAAGAGTGACTCTGTTATGGTACACAACAAGAGTGCCCTGTTATGGTACGACAAGAGTGTCTCTATGGCACACAACAACAAGAGTGTCTCTGCTATGGCACACAACAACAAGTATGACTCTGTTATGGTACACAACAAGAGGTCTCTGCTATGGTACACAACAAGAGCAAGTCTCTAAGCAGGCACACAACAACAAGAGTGTCTCTAAGTTATGGCACACAACAAGAGGTCTCTGTTATGCACACAACAACAAGAGTGTCTGTTATGTACACAACAACAAGAGTGTCTCTGCTTATGCACACAACAAGACAAATTGTTATGGCACACAACAAGAGGTCTCTGTTATGGTACACAAGAGTGACTCTATGCAGGCTACAATGGAGTGTTCTACAGGCACACAACAACAAATATGTCTCTGTTACAGGCCAACAAGAGTGTTCTGTTATGGCACAACAACAAGAGTGTCTCTGTTATGGCACACAACAAGAGTGTCTCTGTTATGGCACATGTAACAACAAGAGTGTCTCTGTTATGGCACAACAAGAGAAGCCCCCTGTTATGGTAATACAACAACAAGAGTGTTCTGTTATGGCACAGCAACAACAAGAGTGCTCTGTTATGGCATACAACAAAGAGTGTCTCTGTTATGGCACACAACAACAAGAGTGTCTCTGTTATGGCACACAACAAGAGTGTCTCTGTTATGGCACACAACAGCAGTGTCTCTGTTATGGCACATAACAAGAGTGTGTCTGCTTATGGCACACAACAACAGAGCCCTGTTATGGCACACACAGAGGTTCCCCACATGGCACACAACAAGAGTGTCTCTGTTATGGCACACAACAACAAGAGTAGCCCCCTGCTTATGGCATGCACAACAACAAGAAAGCAAGCCCTGCTATGCACACAACAAGAGTGTCTCTGTTATGGCACACAACAAGAGTGTCTCTGTTATGGCACATGTCAACAAGAGGAAGTTCTGTTATGGCACACAACAAGAGTGTCTCTATGGGGCACATTAAATAAGAGTGTTCTGTTATAGTACATAACAAGAGGTCTCTGTTATGGTACACAACAACAAGAGTGTTCTGTTATGGTACATAACAAACAAGAGTGTCTCTAGCAGGGTACACGACAACAAGAGTGTCTCTGTTATGGTACACAACAAGAGTGTTCCCCGTTATGGCACACAACAACAAGAGTGTCTCTGTTATGGCACACAACAAGAGTAGCTCCCTGCTATAGTACACAACAACAAGAGCGTCTCTGGTTATGGCACACAACAACAAGAGTGTTCCCATATGGTACACAACAAGAGTAAATCTCTGTTATGGCACATGACACCAAGAGTGTCTCTCATGGTACACAACAAGAGTGTCTCTGTTATGGCATACAACAACAAGATGTTCTGTTATGGCACACAACAAGAGTGTGTCTCTGTTATGGTACATAACAAGAGTGTCTCCTGTTATGGTACACAACAAGAGTGTCTCTGTTATGCATGTCAAGAGTGTCTCTACATGGCATACAACAACAAGAGGCCCCTGTTTATGGTACACAACAAGAGTGTCTCTGTTATGGCACACAACAAGAGTGTCTCCTGTTATGGCACACAACAACAAGAGTGTTCCCTGTTATGGCACACAACAAGAGTGTCTCTGTTATGGTACACATAACAACAAGAGTGTCTCTGTTATGGCACAACAAGAGAGTGTCTTGTTATGGTACACAACAACAAGAGTGTTCCTGTAGGTACACGACAACAAAGAGTGCAGATTAATTTTTAATTTTAATTTTGCCTCTTACAGCGGCTAGTTTATTGTGCATCCCATATTCATCCTGTGAGCGGTAGCGCAAAAGGATTACAGGATATTATGGCACTGAATGTTACAGAGTATTTCAAATAAATTATTTGTTTAGTTCTATACATAAAGGGTTACTTATTCTCAACTGCGTGAGTACAGTACAGGAATGTGAGGCAGTATGTCTGGCCGCACACTTTGTTATTCAAATTTGCGTGAGAGGCATTCAAGGTACACCAGTGCCGAGGTGGACCAGTGTAGAGGTGGACCAGTGTAGAGGTGGACCAGTGTAGAGGTAGACCAGTGTAGAGGTAAGCCAATGTAGAGGTGAACCAGTGTTGAGGTGGACCAGTGTAGAGGTGGACCAGTGTAGAGGTGGACCAGTATAGAGGTGGACCAATGTAGAGGTGGACCAATGTAGAGGTAGACCAGTGTAGAGGTGGGACCAGTGTTGAGGCAGACCAGTGTTGGAGGTAGACCAGTGTAGAGGTAGACCAGTGTAGAGGTGGGACCAGTGTAGAGGTGGACCAATGTTGAGGACCAATGTAGAGGTGGACCAATGTAGAGGTGGATCAGAGTAGAGGTAGACCAGTGTAGAGGTGGACCAGTGAGGTGGACCAGTAGAGGTAGACCAGTGTAGAGGTGGACCAGTGTAGAGGTGGACCAGTGTAGAGGTAGACCAGTGAGAGGTAGACCAGTGTAGAGGTAGACCAGTGTAGAGGTGAGACCAATGTAGAGGACCAATGTAGAGGGACCAATAGAGGTGGACCAATGTAGAGGTGGATCAGAGTAGAGGTAGACCAGTGTAGAGGTGAACCAGTGTAGAGGTGGACCAGTGTAGAGGTGGACTAATGTAGAGGTGGACCAGAGTAGAGTGGTAACAGAGTAGAGCCAGTGGTGGACCAGTGGAGGTGGGACCATGTGAGGTAGACCAATGTAGAGGTGACCAATGTAGAGGTGGACCAGTATAGAGGTGGACCAGGCAGAGGGTGGACCAATGTGGAGGTGATCAGAGCAGAGGTAGACCAGTGTAGAGGTGGACCAGTGAGAGGACCAGGTAGAGGTGACCAGTATAGAGGTGGACCAATGTAGTGGACCAATGTAGAGACCAGTGTTGAGGAGACCAGTGTTGAGGCAGACCAGTGTAGAGGAGACCAGTAGAGGTAGACCAGTGTAGAGGTAGACCAGTGTAGTAGACCAGTGTTGAGGTAGACCAGTGTAGAGGTAGACCAGTGTTGAGGTAGACCAGTGTTGAGGTAGACCAGCAGTAGAGGAGACCAGTGTAGAGGGTAGACCAGTGTAGAGGTAGACCAATGTAGAGGTGATTAATGTTGAGGTGGACCAATGTAGAGGTGGACCAATGTAGAGGTGGATCAGAGTAGGAGGTAGACCAGTGTAGAGGTAGACCAGTAGAGGTAGGACCAGTGTAGAGGTGGGACCAATGTTGAGGTGGACCAATGTAGAGGTGGGACCAATGTAGAGGTGGATCAGAGAGAGGTAGACCAGTGTGGAGGTGGACCAGTGTAGAGGTGGACCAGTGTAGAGGTAGACCAGTGTAGAGGTGGACCAGTGTAGAGGTGGACCAGTGTAGAGGTGGACCAGTGTAGAGGTAGACCATGTAGAGGTAGACAAGTGGAGAGGTGGACCAGTGTAGAGGTGGACCAGTGTAGAGGTAGACCAATGTAGTGGTGGACCTATGGTGGCTTACAGGACTTTGACCTGGGGGATCCTGGGGGTCGGGTGACGTGTGTGCAGAGTCCTCCACCTCCTACACTAACTTATGGCGCCACGTCCTGCTCGTCGAAATGAGCCCCGACCTAACCTAACCGAATCTAACCAAACTTAATCTAACTTAACTTAGTGTAACCCCAACATAACCTAACCCTACCACTCGAGTTTAGGATCACTGATACATAATCCGAATCCTAATAGCTAGGTTAGAGACTATCAGGTCTGACCCCAATCCTAAAGATTACACAAGAACTCACCAAAAGTGGCCCCCAGCCCTAATGGTTAGGGCTAAGGCTTATTAGGATTGACCCCTAATGGTTAGGTTAAGGACTATTAAGATTGGTACCCATTTGACCAGTCACCGCCGACGTAACCTTGGGTGACCTGCCTGACCCCTGGGCCAGGGAGGGGCCAGCCACTCCCCTCCTGGAGCTCCATCACCCGTGTTACTCACAGTGTGGCTGAGTGACTCACAAAAAATCTTAAAAGTTGTCTGTTGTAAAGAAACTCTAGAAGCCTTAAGCTCAATGCCTCGTGACCCTGGCAGTTGACTCATCTAATCCTAAGACGACAACAGCCTCTGGATCTAATGGCAGACGAAAGCTTTTAACAAGAGTCTTGGGTTATATCGACTTACTTGTTTATATACTCATACCGTCCATCTGGAACCACTGTCAACATATCCATCCAGTTTAACCTATAAATATCCGTCTTTCTATCTGCCTATAATTCATTCTGTCCAGTCTATCTAAACTATATTTTTATCTCTCTCTCTCTCTCTCTCTCTCTCTCTCTCTCTCTCTCTCTCTCTCTCTCTCTCTTCATAGCTGGGTGTATTGTATTTAGGATGATAATATAGTATCTGTAGTAATAGTAAAATAAAATATGTAATGGGTAGCCTATACCTACTGTTAGATATGGTGGCACAAGGATAAGTCACCTACCCTACCCTAAACTAACCTAAGACATTCCAATATTATATATATATATTTTTTTTTTCTATTATTATTATTATTATTATTATTATTATTATTATTATTATTATTATTATTATTATTATTATTATTATTACTGTTATCATTAGCATTACTATTATTATTATTACTTTTTTATTATCATTACTGTTATTATTATCATTACTATTATTATTATTACTGTATAGCTATACGAGGATATTGTATGTTAATGATAAATAAATATTATTCTATTTTATTCAGGTTTACGTATAAGGAAAAAGCTAATTTTATCTCTCATTAATTTTCACTCACCTTCAAGTATCGTGTGTTAAAACCACAGGTGAATAAAGCATAAGAACTACCGAGCTTGAAATCTCTTAATGTTGCGGTAAATGAAGACTGCCAGAGATGAAATGTTGTTAATATTGTGTACTGAGTATACTGTCTCGCCACTGTGGTGTGTTGCAGTTTTATTGTTGTTTAGTCAGAAGAAACTTATTGGGTGGATAGGTTTGTGTAATTGAGAGAGAGAGAGAGAGAGAGAGAGAGAGAGAGAGAGAGAGAGAGAGAGTTGTAAGTCTTTATTTTTTTCAGTCTTACTCTATAAGACTGAGCACCTGAGATATATTCACCATAGAGTTTCGAAAATGTTATGCTTCTTGGTCTGTGTGGGTGTTGTTTGTACGGTGGCCGGAAAAGTCAAAATAAAAAAAAGACGATCCCAATTTTGGCTTGGTTAGTGTTAGGTTAGGTGACTTTTTTCCAAGAATCGTTTGTGCAGGACGGCCGGAGGTACAGTATGATGAAAAATGGCGTGGCCTCCTCGTCCCTCCCTTCTCTTAACCAGTTTAAGTCTCCTCCAGCAGAGATCACGAGGCCACCCCTCCTAAAATGTAAACAGGACACGCCCAAAATCGGTCCTAAAATACCCCTCCTCAACCCCACCCTCCACCCACCCAACCCTCATCTTAATCCTCACACCTTCATCCCCATCCCACCTCACCCCCCCCACACACACCTTCCAATAACCCCTCCTTATATGTTCATATTGGGACGGCCATTGTAGCGACGTGATCATGACTCGATAATCAGCGTAAAATGACTCGGCTAGTCTCTGGCCCCAAACTCTTGCTCTAAAAGCTGGTCTTGACCTAGTGTCAACCTGTGTCTCGACCCTGCCTTCACTTTGTCTCGATCAGGGAACATGACCACCAAGGTGTACAGTACAGCACCGCCCAGCCTGGTGGGTGAGCCTTTACGGAACATATGACTGAATAATACGAGAAGTTTTCGGTTTGTCTACTTAAAAGTTCCAAGATTTCGTAGATGACTCTTCTGTTTTTAATATAAGTAGACTTACCTATCATACAAATATTGGAATTCAATGTTAAGATTCCTTTCTATGAGCTAATTGGAAAAAAGAATGGTATTATTTGTAACGTCCAAATTATATACCAGGTATACTTATTGGAATTTCATTTTGTAATTCCTTTCCAAGAAAGGAAGGAAGGTTATGTATGATAGAAAAACTTCCATACACACTCACACACACACACACCTGGTTTAGGTTAATCACATTATGTAGACAAAATATTCAAGCCTCATTCTAATGGCTGTGTTCCCCTACTCAAATGTTTTAATCATCTGACAGGAATTTCTGTATTAAAAGGCATGTTCGAGCGAGGAATTTGCCGATGAAATTTATAACCTTTGTCACTTTGTCCGAGCACGATGTTTACTTCCTCGTAGTGTGTATTAACCTTTGTATGAATCGTGAGCTTTGCACAGTCTCATCCATCGTCCTGACTGCTGTATCAATCACTGTCTCACTCCTTGTATAAACCTCTAACTCAACTGTCTCAGTTATTGTCTCGACTCATGTATCACCATTTTTTCCTCTTGTCTTGAATGGTTTTCTAACTTTGTATGTATTCGGGCGTTGTTTTGGCTCTTGGATGAACTTTTGCTTGAATCCCTGACCTTATTCTGTGACCCATTGTTGACTCAACCAGCGTCTCGACTCATGTATCTAAATAAATCTCGTAACTCACTATTTACTCAACTATTATCTCGACACATTGATCAACATCCTGTCTGTATAAATCTTCCCCTCACCCCTAACTTAACCTCAGCTTCGACCTTTAACTCGACTTTGTCTCGCGAATCACCACCGTCTCGATCCGTCCCTTGTCTCATACTCTGTCTCGACCACTGTCAGATCCTCCTACTCCTCCTCCTCCTCCTCCTCCCCGGGTGTCGTCTAGCGTCTGGAACCCCTTATGGTCTCCTCCCTAGGGTGGTGGTGGGTGTGTCCCTCCCTCCACCACCCGTCAGTCTGTGAGAAGCTCCACCATTTGTCTTGGGGTGAGTTACAAGTCACAGATAAGTGAAACACATCGGGAAAGTTTTTACGGTGACATAATGTGTTTTTTTCAGTGTGTATGTGTGTGTGTGGTCCCTGTCTGTTTTATTACCTCTTTCTATGTTTCCATTTTTTATGAGTTGGTCTTTACTGGATAACCGGAAAACTCTAAAAATTGGGATCAACTGAAGATTAGACCCCTAGCTTAAGATTAACCACCCTAATGTTAACCTAAGCTGACCTGAACTCCCAGATAGCTTCAGTGAAATAAATTGGTGATCCTGAAACTGGTGTGAATGTAGAAAGATAAACATAGACTTCAATGTGAACATGAGTCGACCAAAGAGCCTGTAATAAGAGTTTGTCCAAGAGCAATTTACTTTTAAAAAACATAATTACCCACCCGAGAATTTTAACATAAAACTGTATTTTTTCCTTACATAACCAGCGACTTTCTTTACGTTATTTTTGAGGAGAGAAAAATGAAACTCAAATAAAAATCCCTGATAGTGTGTAGCTGGAGGGACGAGTTGCAGCTCCAGGAGAGTGAACATAATGGTGTCTCGTTTTATGATAAGTCTCGATGGTTAGGTTAGGTTAGGTTACGTTAAGTTGAGTTGAATAAGAGACTTGGGTATACCTGGGTGTGCTGAGTCTCCGTGGTACTGCCAAAGACTGCTAGTGTAACTGTACTGTATGTTACTGCCTCTCCCTCCTGTGGTGTTGGTGGGAGGAACTCAGGAAGGTAGGGAAGACTTGCTGGAGTTTGTTATCTCATTTTTTTTTAATTACCTCTCTCTCTCTCTCTCTCAACCACAGTCCAGGTGTGAAAAGAAGAGTTAATGAAAGAAACACGTCATTCTATTCACCGC